TTTTTGAGATGGGAGTTGCTCTGTTGCCCAGACTAGAGTGCAGTGACGTGATCTTGACTTATTGCAACCTCCACCTCCCTGGTTCAAGCAATTCTCCTGCCTCAACATCCTGAGTAGCTGAGACTACAGGCATGCACGACCATGCTCAGCTAATTTTTGTATTTTTAGCAGAGACAGAAGTTCACCACGTTGGCCAGGATAGTCTTGACCTCTTAATCTCGTGATCTGCCCACCTTGGCCTCCCAGAGTGCTGGGATTACAGGCATGAGCCACCGTGCCCAGCCTGATGTCCATTTTTTAACAAGCATGTAGCCTGCTCTACAGAGAAAACTGGCAGGGAGTGGGAAGAGGGAGATGAGTATTGCTCAGGCCATGTCAGCCAGGAGCCGCATTTGGATAAGCGAGAGGGGCCATGAGTGTTGTGAGTCCAAATGGAAAAGGCAGAAGAGGCACAATCGGCAGACTGGTTAGCTGTGGGACATGAGGGGAAGAAGGGAAGGAAGAACCCTGGGGTCTGAGCAGCTGTTTGAATAATATGCCATTTGCTGAGTCGAGGAAAATCTGAGGGACTGTTTTGAGGTCAAACCAAGAGTTGTGTTTTAGCTGTAAGTCTGAGCTGCCTGTTAGACATTCCCATGGAGGTTCTGAAATGGTCAGTGGATATTGTAAGAATTAAAGAAAGAGGAGAGAAACACGAAGGGTGGCTCAACAGTCAACAGGTTTATTTCACATCTGGGAGGGACTTCCAACCAAGTTAGGTCAGAAGCTGTATTCTCTTACAGACTAAGAGTTTTTAAAGATTGGCTGGGCATGGTGGCTCACGTCTGTAATCCCAACACTTTGGGAAGCCGAGGTGAGTGGATCACATGAGGTTGGGAGTTCAAGACCAGCCTAACCAACATGAAGAATCCCATCTCTACTAAAAATACAAAATTAGCCGGGCTTGGTGGCGCATGTCTGTAATCCCAGCTACTCGGGAGGCTGAGGCAGGAGACCTGCTTGAATCTGGGAGGCAGAGGTTGCAGTGGGCCAAGATCATGCCATTGCACTCTAGCCTGGGCAACAAAAGCGAAATTCCGTCTTTAAAAAAAAAAAGGGTTTTAAGAATTTTGGGTGGGAGAGTTTATCAGAGGCTTGGACTGCTTCTGTGTCTCTTTGTTGTGCTTATCTGGGAGGGAGAGGTGTGTGTCTGTTCCCATACATCTTTCTGCAGCTGCAGGCATACTCCCCGAGTCTGCTTTTAGCTACCCTATCTTAGTGCACCTGAAGGGAAAGGAATGTTCTTACTAAGGCTCACTGTTTTACTGAGGCCCATTGTTTGAGGGTGAAGTTTGGCAGTTACCCAAGAAATAAACCTGTTGACTGTCAAACCACCCTTCCTGTTTCTCTCCTCTTTCTTTAATTCTTACAGATATATGAGCCTGGAGTTTAAGGGAGAAGCAGGAACACCATACAGAGGGATGGCAGAGAATATGGGTGCTGAACAAAGGCACAGATTTAGTGATTAGAAGTGAAACAGGCTAGGTGCAGTGGCTTACACTTGTAATCCTAGCACTTTGGGACGCTGAGGCAGGCAGATCACTTGAGGTCATGAATTTGAGACCAGCCTAGGCAACATAGTGAAACCCCGTCTCTATAAGAAATTTAAAAATTGCCGGGCGCGGTGGCTCAAGCCTGTAATCCCAGCACTTTGGGAGGCCGAGGCGGGTGGATCACAAGGTCAAGAGATCGAGACCATCCTGGTCAACATGGTGAAACCCCG